TTCCGAAAGTGAGGGCGGCCGGCCAGGGCGGAAGGGGGCGGGGGGGGGGGGGGGCGAACTAGGAGATCAATAAGAGCAAGTGCGGGCGGGGGAGGGAAGGAGGGAAGGAGAGGTGGGAGGAGGGAAGGAGGGAGGACGGGAGGGAAGGAGGGGCGGGGAGGAGGGAAGGAGGGAGGACGGGAGGGAAGGAGGGGCGGGGAGTAGGGAAGGAGAGGTGGGAAGAAGGGAGGGAGGGGCTGGAGGAGGGAAGTAGGGAGGAAGGGAGGGAAGGAAGGAGGGGCGGGGAGAAGGGAGGGAAGGGGGGGGCGGGGAGGAGGGAGGGAAGGGGGGGCGGGGAGGGAAATTATGATACAATGATGGTTATGAAAATAATTACATTAATACCAACAAAAAGAACAAGAAGAATGACAACAGCAGCAACAACAATATATTAAAAGAGATGATAATGATATGCCACAACTGTTGATGATAACAGCAGCAAAACTGATGATAATGATAATAAAAATTATAACAGTGATAAAAGTCCTAATAATGATAATAAGAGAAATGATAAAGATAATAATAATAATTATAATAATGATAATAATAACTTTAATATTTATAATAACAAAAATAATAATAATAATCATAATACTCATAGTGATAGCCACAATAACTATAATGATAATAAAAAAAATAACAATAAAGATAACAGTGATAAGGACAGAAATTATTGCTATTATTACTATTAGCAGTGTCAATTATCATTACAATGAGGATGATAATGGCAGTAATAATAATAATGGTAACATTATTATTATTATTATTATTATTATCATCATCATTATTATTAATTTTATCATCAGCATTATTAATATAAGTATTATTATTATCGCTATTTACATTATTATCCATATCATGAATGATAATAATATTATTATCATTATTTTTGTCATCTTTCTATTATTGTTTTTACTATTACCATTAATATCAATATCATTATTATCATTGTTATTATTGTTATTATTATTATCATTAATGTTGTTATTATTATTGCTACTATTATCATCATTAATATTATTATTACCATTATTATTATTATCATTATTATTATCATTATTATCATTATGATTGTTATTATTATTATTATTATTATTATTATTTATTAATTATTAATTAGTTATTATTATTATTATTATTATTATCATTATAAGGCCTATCATTATTATTATCATCATCATTCCTGTTATCATTATCATCATGTATTATTATTTTTACTGTTATTATTAGTTGCATAATGATAATAATAATGATAATTATAATAATGACAATAACAGCTATGGCAATGATAATGACAATAATAATAATAGTAATAATAATAATAATAATAATAATAATAATAATAATAATAATAATAATAATGATAATAAAAATAATGTTGATGATTATGATAATGAAAATAATAGTGATGATAATGATAGTAATACCAGTAAGAATAATAAAAATAATGTAGATAATAATAATATCCATAATAATAGTAGTAATAATGGTAATAATAATGATAATCGTAATGATAATAACAATAATGGTAGTAGTCGTAGCAATGATAATGATAGCAATGTTAAAGATGATGGTGATAGTAATGACAACAACAACAATATAATCATAATACTACTTTTTGTTGTTATCATTATCGTCATTGTTATTATACTGATAATGATAGTAAGAGTAATAAAAATATAATGCTCATCATTATGATATTGATAATAGTGATGTAATAGATATAATAGTAACAATATCATTAATGAAAATGACGATGATGATGATGATCATTATTATTATTATTATCATCATTATTAGTGTGATAATGATAATAACAATAATGATAACAATAATAATGATCACTGTAATAACAATAGCAATAATAATAATAATGATAATAATGATGATAGTAATAATAGTGATAATGATGATAAAAATAATAATAATAATAATAATAATAATGATAATAATAATAATAAAAATGATAATAATTATTGTTATTATCATCATTAGATTGAAAACAATAATAAAGACAATGATAATGAATATGAATAAGAATAAGAAGCTTGGTAAATAATATATTATTTCTATTATCATTATTATTATTATTATTATTATATCTATCACAATCATTATCATCATTATAACTGCTGTCACAACGTTGATTATGATATAGCGCCAATAACGCCAGCATCGTGGAGGGAAGGACCAGCGCCGCCGCCCTCTCCAGGAGCATTTGCAACGGCCGCATCGTGCAGGACAGCGAAGGCATCGAGAGCAGCAGAGTCGGAGGGAAGCCTCGATGAATTGAGAGCTTTATTTACATGGCAAACATTCCCGGCAAAAAGGAACGGGAGCTTCAGCTGGTTAAAGTTTTATCGACTACAGCGGCCTATCAGTCAGACATGAGCCCTGCCGGAGGGAGGGGGCGCAGGATCACGATCAGCTCCACAAATAGACTGATTTTGTTGTCGGGAATTCTCTCGTGGCATCTGGGGGCGCTGCCGGAGTGGCAGGGCGCAGATTTAAACAATGTGAGGCATTGTGGCTCAGATTGCTGGGCTAAGGTGACGTCCATTCTGCAGAGATGATGCCATTTTGCATCTTAAATCCGGAAAGTCATTTTGTCACGCTATTTAGTACAGCAGAGAGGAGTGTGGACTTACCAAATCACGCTGTGACATTGGGTATATTTCCTAAAGTACGGATTTTGCATCCGTCTCATACCACGAATACATTCTGTAGCGATAAACAAGGGTAAATATTTTCATTACTTTTTATTATTCTCTCAACTTGATGAATACATGAAGTAGTGACCCCACAGGTAAGGAGGCAGATGGCAAGATAAGAGAAACTGAAAATCATGCATCGGGAGGGAAGGAGTTACAGAGATAATAGGTCACCTGTCTCGCCTCACCGTAGACATGCACGGAAATATTACAACTGATTTAGTACTATGGTGATGATCGCATCGTTCGAGCGCCCGTGGGAGAGGCAGGCGAAGGGGGCTCTACGGGGATACTGGGGGCAGAGGATGTGAGTGGTAAACGAAGGGCGCCAGGAACGGGTCTTCCTGACGGGCAAGTGATCTCCATCTGAATGGGAGAGGATGTGTGCTGGGAGGCGGTGGGCGGTGCACCGAGAAAGGGCTGTTGAAGCTGCACACAAGCAAGGCTCGAAGGACGATGAGATATGGATCGAAAATATGAATAAGAAGGCAAATATGATCGAAAAAGCACATAGAACCTCTGTAGCAGAAAGATAGGAAGAGAGTGCCGGGTAGAGCCAGAGGAAGTTAGGAACAGAGGCCAGCGAAAGCCAGGGAGAGCCAGAGGGAGCTAGGAAGAGCCAGTGAGAGCCAGAGGGAGCTAGGTAGCTCCAAAGAGAGAGACAGGGAGAGCCAAAGGGAACTATGGAGGGCCAGAGAGAGACAGGGAAAGCCAGGGAGCTAGGGAGAGCCAGAGGGAGCTAGGTAGATCCAGAGAGAGAGACAGGGAGAGCCAGAGGGAGCTATGGAGGGCCAGAGAGAGACAGGGAAAGCCAGGGAGCTAGGGAGAGCCAGAGGGAGCTAGGTAGATCCAAAGAGAGAGACAGGGAGAGCCAGAGGGAGCTATGGAGGGCCAGAGAGAGACAGGGAAAGCCAGGGAACGTCAGAGGAAGCCAGAGGAAGCTAGAGAGAGCCTGGAATAGCCAGGAATAGTTTAAGGGAGCCAGAGAAAGCAAGGGGGAGCCGAAAGGAGTTAGGGTGAGCAAGGGGAAGCAGGGAAAGCCAAACGGAGCTAGGGAGTTAGGACGGGCCAGAGGAAGCCAGGGAGAGCAAGAGGGTGCTAGGGAGAACTAGAGAAAGCTAGGAAGAGCCAGAGAAAACCATGAATAGCTAGAGGGAGCCAGAGGGAGGTAGGGAGAGCCAGGGAGAGGCATAGGGAGCTAGAGACCTAGAGAGTCATTACGGGGCAGCAGCAGAGAGACAGCCACTTAGAAGCCCCTTCGAAGGCGACAGTTCGTTGAGGTGGTGCAGCGTCGCTAACCTATCTCTTCCTGAGGTGGCCATTGCAACCACAGTTAGATCTACGAAGAGTGCAGCGGAGTAGGATGCCGTGGGAAAGTTAAAGGTGAATACAGAACCATATATGGTGACAGATTCGATGCCTGTAAGGCACTTTGGGTGTGGCACAGAATGTTAGCGACATGGTATGGTGTGGTAGGAAGTGTTAAATTGAAGTGTAAACTGTTGAGACGTGCTTCCACTTAAGGAATAGTGCTGTAGCGGTGCGGTTGTGATAGGCGGTGCTCTGGTTTAGTGAAGGACGCACAGCAAGGTGCCGCCATGATTGTGCGGTTGACACGAACTGACAGCACCACGGAACGGTCAGCGTGGCAGCAGCACTGTTATCTGCATGACGATCGCATAAAGTGGAAGCGAGGAGGAGGTGGATGGCACACTATGAGACGGCAGCGTGACTGTGTGGAAGACACGGTGGAGCGAGCCGGGGGAGCCGCGGCGATACGAGCAATGTTGTGTGTGCGAGAGCCCCTCGGCCGTGTGTGGGAGTGGTAGCAAGTGGATCGTGCGGGGCGGGAGCCATGACCTGTGCGTGGATGATGGGGAGGCGTTCAGCCATGAGGGGTAGGTGACGGAGGCACTGAAGTAGAAGCAGAAGATGGGCCGTGGTAAAGATATTGCGGTGTGGTGGCGAGAGCTGTGGGGGGCCAGGATCCAGGACCGACGCTGGGTCCCGGGCCGTTGCTTGAAGCCGCGTTTCCTCGCTATGTTATGCGAGTGACTGGTGGCGCGCAGGCCCTAACGCGTCGACGCGGCGGGTTCTTCCCCAGTGGCGCCCTTCTTCGGCATATTGTGACTTGTGGCTGACCTAGACAGCCTCCTCACGCACCCAGTACACTGTAATGATAGTTCGACAAACCTCACAAGGACAATCTTCATCGAAAACTTGTCCTGCGAAGGGGAAGGAAAAATCGTTACTCGGCACCCCTGGTTCGCCAAGCCACGCCGACCCTCGTCCCCGGGTCAGTCATAGCCGGGCCGCTGACGGAGGAAGACTGGCGCGCTCTGAGTCGACCCGAAGATGTGATAAAGTAGGGGGACGCAGTGGAGAACACACGATCGGTAATTCGCAGAGTGAAGATTATGGCTCGGATCTTAAGCCGAAACGAAGCAGAAGTGGAAACATTAGCGGGATGAGTGCGAAACGAATGGCTTGTGGTCTTAAAAAGACTTTCTGGAGAAAAACAGCCTCTGAACCCGAGCAAGGTGCGAGGAAGACGAGTGTTTAAAATCAATAGAACAGCTAGAATGCAGGCGAGACAAGTGGCGTAATTTAGTGTACAGACTTGTCAGTGGTGACCGATATTCATCATCGGAATGTACAGCAAAGCGTCCATTGATTTTCCCGAGCAAATTGCATGCAAGAAACGCCACACTTGCATTAGGAGCGCGTGTGTGTGTATGTGTGTGTCGTGCTCCCTGACCGAGGGTGCTCGAGTCTGGCTGTCCTGTGTGCTTCGGGCTTGTCCTTCTGTTCATCTCGGAGGGCGAGGGTCAGTTATGTCTCTGCATCGTGCAGGATGACGTCAGTTAGGTGTCCTTCTAGGATGTGCTCGCAGTTTCAACGCTCGGTTAGTGTGTCATAGAGCGTGATAACGTACGGTTAGTGTTCTTATTCTAGTGTGATTCCGACGTCTTGAGTGCAGATTCCACGCGGCCCTATTTGTCTAGCGTCCTTAAATCTTCTCGAAGGAATAAATCCTCTCATTCGGTCAGTGAATCGTCAGGAGTGACTGACTGCAAGGACGCGGTGCGGCTCCTCGGAAAACAGGGAGCCGGGCCTGCTGCCTCGACAGGGTGGAAGAAACAGACCTGAGTCAGTTGGAATATCGAATACAGCTAAGTTCTGCGTACTAGTGAACTGACTGGGTGAAGGAACCGTCCACTGCAGGCAACCTGATTCAAAACGTTCCCAGGGTCCGGTTTATTTTTACCTTGGTCGCAAGAAGCGCTGCCTGCTGTCCGGCCAGGGCAGTGGATTTTGGACGTTATTAGCAATGCCATTGATTTTCCGCTGGCAAAGTGTTCTCTTTTTACTAATGTTCTTGTTTCTCCAATTTCCAGTGTAACTTGCATCGAACCTAAGAGTGATTCAGTAATTGTTATCGAGTTAAAAGAAAGGAAAAAGAAAAAGGGAAACTGAACTTATCCCTTCGAAAAGAAACCCTCATGAATGAGACCAACAGGAGCCCTTTTAAAGAGAAAGAGATGCAACATTAGGCCAGACCCGCCCACCAACCCTTGAGTGGCTGTGTTATTGAACGAGCAGCCACCGACCAACGTTTGGCTGAACAAACTCACGCACACACGGCAGCCTTATCTCCAGAACCCAAGGTACGGCACCAGTCTCTGTAGGTGATATTTGCCACCTGGCCTCATCCTCACTCCTTCCTTTCAAGGGGACATTGCAGGTGGAAGCCCAAGCTTTAGATAGCTATACGTTGTACTGATATTCGTATCGATTTTAACCTTCGTTCTCATTAGCTCCAGTTTTCCTTGTTAAAAAAGTCAGTTTGCCGTTTGAATTCATGGCAGTACTTGTGACAGAATGCAACACTGTGTTTGTCGAAGATCTCGGAGGGGCATCAGCAGTTCATGATTATTGAGGGTCAGAGGCGGATGGAAAAGGGCAGGACTCGAGGCCGCGCGAGCAGGGCAGGCGGGTCGGGAAGGAGGCCCTCGGAGTGCCATCTTATCTGAAATCAATCGGGGGCGAAATTCAGGAGACGTTGGGAGAAGAGAGAGGGAGAGGGAGAGGGAGGGAGGGAATGGGTGAGAGTGAGTGAGTGAGCGAGTGAGAGACGTAGAGTGAGTGAGTGAGAGTGAGTGATTGAAAGAGAGAAAGAAAAAAAGAAAGAAAGAGAGAGATAGGGAGAGGGGGAGGCGGAGAAAGAGAGATAGGGAGAGGAGGAGGCGGAGAACGAGAGATAGGGAGAGGGAGAGGGAGAGAAAGGGAGATAGGGAGAGGGAGGGAGAGAAAGAGAGATAGGGAGAAGGGGAGGGAAGGAGAGAAAGAGAGAGGGAGAGAGGGGTAGGAGAGAGAGAGAGAGGGAGAGGGGGAGGGAGAGAAAGAGAGATAGGAAGAGGGAGGGAGAGAAAGATAGGGAGAAGGAGAGGGAGAGAAAGAGAGATAGGGAGAGGGAGGGAGAGAAAGAGAGATAGGAGGAGGGGGAAGGAGAGAAAGATAGGGAGGAGAGGGAGAGAAAGAGAGATAGGGAGAGGGGGAGGGAGAGAAAGAGAGATAGGGAGAGGTGGAGGGAGAGAAAGAGAGATAGGGGGGAGGGGGAGGGAGAGAAAGAGAGAGGAGAGGGAGAGAGGGGAGAGGGAAATAGAGAGAGAGAGATAGGGAGAGGGAGAGATAGGGAGAGGGAAAAGGAGAGATAGGGAGAGAGAAAAGGAGAGATAGGGAGAGAGAA